GTCTTGCAACTCATTTGGTTTCTGTGGTCTTGTATTTCCCATAAGGTTGATCACAACTCCTTGGCATATATCTACAGCACCTAGGATTACAGTGTGGTCTCCTATCCAAGTACTAGCCAGGCCCAAAGTTGTGTAGATTCAAATATCTGGTGCATTCCATCAATCATGACTGCCTCTAATCTGTATTATATTGGTATAAATCATCCATCAAGATGCTAAATCCAATCTTAACTAATAAATAATTTGGACACCATGACAATAATGAAGAAAATTAATTTGACAAGTATTTTCCTATTGCTTGCTTTGTACCAATCATTAAGCAAAATTAAGTAGGTTCTTATTTCTAAAATTGGTTCCAAACATCCCAAAAGACTGCCTTGTCAGAACATTACCAGGAAACATGAAGTCAAAAAAGCATTATATAGTTTCAGATAGAGTTGCAAACAGATAGCAAAATGTTCTTTTTTAGGAGAGAAAATATCCAGAGGTAGAAGGTGTGTCTTGGTGTACACAAGTAGAAGCATGTTGAAAGCATATTACTTGCAGGGATCCCAGGAACCATACCCTAAGTGCAGTCACATCATTTCTATGTTGAGGTGGACTCAGGTCACTATAGGCAGTGAAAGGCACATGAAGACCTCTTGGGACAAAGAACAACAATGTTGCTCAAAAAATTGGAATAAAATCACAGCGAATGACCAAAAAAGAGACAGATAAATCAATAGATCTTCAAAACAACTTCTTGTAGTTCCCAGCAAACAAGGTTTGTTAAGGTTAGGATACATAAACACACACAGTTTACTCAGTTATTTTGGAATAGCTTTTTAATTCTTTTAGATCAAATACCATTTCCCTATTGCTAGTCTTGGCTATCAAAAATGTCAGAGACTAGAAGAACCATGTTGGTCTTCTCATGCTTACTATAAACCTATACTGAAATATAATGTATTGAATGCCTTTGTCTAGAAGGCAGCTATTTAAAAAGAACATTTTTGGTAAATTAGAAGTGAAATATTTACTTGAAAACTGCAAGGAATGGAATCACTTTGGAAATGCGTAGGATCTGGTATGTAGAGATTCCATTGTCTTTTTCTGGATAAGGTAAGTAATGCTTTGGAGAAGGATATGGGTCCAATGAAAGGCAACATGATGCAGAGGGTTGGACTAGATGACATCCTGAGGTCCCTTCCATCCCTAATTGTCTATGATTCTATTAATTTAACAGCCACATACAGCTTTCTCATCCTCTCCCAATGGAGAGAAGCATGGGCATCCCAGGAGAATTTTGCTTTTGTGAGAGTTTTACCTTTTCTTTTCTTCCCCTGCCACCCTTTATTTTCTTTAAATGTGCATGTTGCTAAGAAGGTGAGTTCAAAGAAATGTATCTTGAACTTGTAATGGAAAATGGTGAGGTTTGTCTTGGTCCATAATTCTTGGAGTTCATTCCATATTCTAAAATCACATTTAAACAAGACAAGCTTCACTTTTATGATTGCTGAGTTCCATTTTGCCATATAAACAGAGGTGTCACATCTGCTTTTCATTTCTGAGCTTTACATTTTTTTTCTCTTTTTAATATCCTGTATGCAGTTCTGGCACTCCTTGCACTACTGGGCCTTGGAACTTGAGCTAGATTCAGTAGTCCATATCTAGTCCGGGACAAGTTTGATGTATTATGATGATAGCTTGTGTCACTGAAGAGATGAGCTTCAGCATACTCTGCTAATCAGCATTTCCTCAGCACTGTGTACCCTGTGTACCCGATTATCCAGCTGAGAAGTGATGGAAGCTTGAGGAAGTGAGACTAGAACACTGTCTGCCAGGTTGAGATGGAGCCTATTAACCAGTCAGGGATGGCAGAAAGTGTTATTTGTGAATAGTGCTATGACAGAGCTTTGGATCAATGCGGAATCCCAAAGTACCCCTAACCTGACCAGTTGAGGTGTGTACTTTAATTGAAAGCAGATTGCATGTGGTGCAAAATCCTTCTGCTGGATACCAGTATCACCTCTCTGCCTTGTTTTGGTTTTGGCCATGTGATCTCATCTTGATGGAAGCAGTGTAGTTGTTTATGGTGAAATACATGTAAAGGCATATGCCATATAGAAATTGCTGTTACAAGCTAGGCTGTTGGACTAGTTCACCTAGAGAATTGATTCTTGTGGGTCCAGTGTTTCAGTGTTAGAGGTGGTTTCCTTTCAAAATTTGCCCGATGCATTCCTATAGGAATGCATCAAACCATTTTCCTATATTCATAGATTGAAAGGCCCAAAAAGGGCCACTATGATCACTTAGTCAAGCTGGCTGTACACACAGGCTACAGTTGCTTTTTTCCTTCCAAAACTGGATTAAGAATGTCTTTTAGAAAGATAGCTAATCTGATTTTTAAGACTCTAAATCCTGGTGACTCTACCATCTCTCCTGATAATATGTTCTCATATATAATTACCTGCACAGCGAGGAGGTTGTATCTTGAATTGAATTTGTATAATTTCAGCTTCAAGTCACTGGATCTTGTTATGCCTTTGTCTACAAGATTGAAAAACTTCTCCACTATCAGACATCTTTTCTGTGTGCAGCTACCTATACACAGTGATCGAGTTGCCTCACAACTTTCTTTTTGATAAATTGAATAGAGGAAGTTCCTTAACATTTGTTCTTTCTTTCTTTCTCTGAATTTACCACATTGTTATATAGTTGTAAACACCAGAATGGGACCCAATATTCAAGTAAAAATCTTACTGATGCTGTGGCCAGAGGAAAGAGCACTTCCCTATTTCTCATTGATATTCTCCTTTTTTATGCATCCAAGGGTACATCTACAGACATGCAGTTACCCTGACTGAATAAACTCTGGCACAGTTTGTGCTGGAGTAAGCTGCTCCTGGGCACAGTATCTTCATGTGCACCCAGGATCATCATAATTTGAGCTGGGGTGGAGCAGCCTTTGGCTGGGGGTGGTGGTGGAAGACCTGGCTGGGACACAGTGGGGCCACAGTTCAGGGCTAGCCAGCAGGCAGCCCCACACTGTAGCATCCTTGTGCCCCAGCCAGCCCCAGTCATCTTCTACATGTGGGTTTTGGTGCACATAATGACTGCTGTAGGATAGTACTTGTCCTGGGCAGTACTATCCTGTGGTGGAGTTAATTAATTTATGGGTGTACATGTAGACAGCAATGCTTTACTGTGAAGCTAGCTAGTCAATTCTGCAGTAAAGTCACTGTAGATACATCCCAAGAATCCAAAATTAGTCCCCCTGCCCCCCACACACATTATACTGAGAACTCTGATTGAGGTGGTTATCTTCAATAAATCTGAAGTGAGTTATTAAATCACTGCTTTCTAATTTGGTCTCTTGTCCTATGGATAGACTTCACCCTTTGTTTCCATAGGTATTGACTTGACCACAGTGATCTGTGTTTTGTTGGATTACCACTTAATCAGGTGATTCAGTTCAGTCTGTAAGAATAAACATTCTGGTTCATTATTTAATAATTTGCCCATTTCTAGTTTCTTCAAAATCAATCAACAATGACTATACCTGGATCACTTTGAAAGTATTGAACATAGTTAGACTGAAGACGGATCCCTGAGACCCTCCTGATATTGGTCCCTCTTACTGATGTCCCCCCATTACATTTTTAGATCTGTTAGGGAGCTAGTGGTTCATGCACCTTATATGTGCCCTGTTAATTCCATAAAATGTGAGTTTTAATCATGCTATCATATGGTACTAAGTCAAATGCCTTGGAGGAATCCACGTATATTATATCAACAGAGTTGCCTTTATCAACCAGGCCTGTAAGTCTTGTTAAAAAACGAGACTTGTTTGACAAGAATTCTTTCCCATTGAACCATATTAACAGTCTAGTTATATTTTTTGTGGTTTGATAATGAAACTTTTTTGATTAAAATGTGCTAGAAAAGATGGATAAGGGAATAGGGCTAAGCATAAGGCTTATGCCCTGCAACCTGATTAACCAGGCTAACTAAACCTAAACCAGGACCAGCTGACCCTAGTCCTTCCCCGCTGATTGGTCCTGACCCTGATTTTAAGAAACTCCTCCAATATCTGAACCTTGTTGCACATCTTACTGGTCTCCAATCCCTGAGCAGCTTCTGTCCTAGTAACCCCTCTGGCCTCTGTCCTGGCATCCCTGATTGTGCATCCAGCCCCTTGGCCTTTGGCTTGACCTCAGTTTGCTTCCTGATTCTAGTTATTCCCATGGTTTGGTATTTGGTTCCTGACTTTTGGCTTCTGACCCCCACTTCTGCGATCCCTGGTTCCACTTTCAGCCCTACCCACTAGACTGGATGTCTTGGTGGACTGTGACATAATCTCTGGGACCTCAGTACCACAGAATCTTAAGAAATTCAAGAAGATGATGTAAGTAAGCAGGAGGCTCTTCTATAAGGGAGGAAACTCAAGATATCCTTGGAGAAAAAAGGATGTAAGGAGTAAACTTTATGGGCAGCCATGCCTTGGAAAGATAAGCATGGTGAACAACAAATGGCCACCTGTAAGTTGGTTCAGATCAGTTTATGGAAGGCAATCCTCTCCCCAACTCCACTTGCTTGCCCCTCCCCTCCCCTCCCCCTCCCCACTCCCAAAGTATTTGAGTAATTGGAAACTGAGGTGGATAAAGGAAGCTAATGGAAAAGGGTTCTTTGTTTCTGCCAGTGATCCATGATGGGGGGATACTTTCATGTGTCTGCATCCTCTTTGGCAGCTGAGTCATGGCTAATATTACTGTGTGCTTAAAGTAATCAGTATAAGTGCTGGTTGGCTTTTGATTTTAATAAAAGAATTTTCAGCTGAATTACTGGCATAGCCTATCAAATTCCAACAACCCTATATAATAATTTTTTAATCCTGGCTTTTAGTGCTTCCACCTGGATTCTTGCCACCACTCTCAGGTGAGAGAGCAGTATTTCATGCTCAGCAGTCCTGACTTCTGTAGAGGTCCAGAAAGATATGAATGGCTCTCTCCATTGACGGGAGGAAATTCAGCATTTTCTGAAGTGATTTCAGTTCCATCTCTTGTAGTAAGTCCAGATTGTGCTGGGTCTTCAAATACATGAACTTCTTGTTAAGCTTTCAGAGCTGAAAACGTGAAACATGCAAGACTAACTAAATACATCATTTCCCTTCATTACTGTATATTTTAGATCACTTAAATCATGCTGTTGTCAAATTACCTCCTTATTGCTAGCTTTCCCCCCCGCTATAGCTGTTTACACATATTCCATAGAAAAAATGTCTGATCTGTAATATTCAAAATACAGATTTAAACTTTTTTTAAATGAGTGGAATGCTCAGATGTGGTGTGTCTGTTTAATTGGTAGCTTTTCTCTGGTAACTATTTGTCTGAGTAAATGATGATTATGTTCTGTTCCTTATTTTGCATCAGTGTCTGATCAATGCAATCAGAACAGTAGTGTATGCTCCATCAAATGGGGATAGGTGGACATCTAGGAAATGTGGACTCATTTGTGTGCAGTTTTTTTACTCTGCATTTACTAAGAGAAAATTGGGATTTTTACATTTTTCTTAGATAGATTTTGATCCTGATCCTTTGAAACCATTCTGAGAAGAAGAATTTGAGAAGGCATAATTTTGCCATCTTACCGCATTTTATACTATATTCTGAAGGGAGTCGGTTTAAAAAAAGCAAAAATTCCTGATACTTGCAAAAGCATTCTTTTAAATATTAAAGCAAACAGAAAGCTTATGTACTACTAATGGAAAATGAGGATAAATAATAGTCTCTCTAAAACTGGATTTTCTATTCCAATTTTTACATTGCTTTACATGGCAAACTTAAGTTCTTGGGTATTTTGCAGGCAATAAAGTGGACAGTAATTTTTCTTTCCTGTTAAATTTTGAAAGTCACCTAGTATTATTTCACACTTGCCTATAACAAAATATAGACAGCAAAACACCAAGCACAATGTCAGCACCCAACAAACAATAAATAATAATTATTAGGCTAGATGCGTTCAAATAGCTACATCCTTTTCCGCAGAAGGCATCAATAATGTGCCTTTGGCCACTGCTTATTTTAATGACATCCCTAAGGACCACATTGAGCCTTTAAAAAATAACTATAAAATCATTGCTGCATTTCTTCTTTTTTAATCAAATCACAGTTTTCAAAAACTGCACGTTTGTGTTTGCAAAGCTGGCTTCTATAGGTACATTTTCTAAAGTTATGATACTACCGTGTGGAGCAGAGGTTTCGAACAACCAGTACATGGGCTAGATCCAACCTGTAGAGCCACTCCAGCCAGCCTGTTGGACTACTGGAAGTTAGGGGCATGGCTAGCAGTGGTCATGGCCTGCCGCTAAATCTGGGGCTCTGTGGCCTCAGTTGGACATGGCACTTGGGGGCAGGAGGGCTATTGAGGGCTAGTGGAGCACAGCCCCCAATAGCTCACTTGCCCTGTGACTGCCACCCCACTTGCCCCACTGCTGCTGCAGTGACTGCCACAGTTGTTACTGCTACTACTGCAGTGGTCATGGCAGCTACCCCATGTCCTAGATTGGATCTGGCCCATGAGGTCCAGACCCAGCCCAGGGACCAGGTGAGTTTAACACTCCTGAAATAGCAGGATCTGTATGTAGCTTTCTTGCCATCTTGAATCTACAGTACTAGATTGTTAAGACAGATGCACAGGACAGAATGCTCCCGCATGTGGACTCCAAGATTACAGAAACTGGGAGCCTGAAAGCCTTGGAAGTCACAGCTGTCACCTCCTTTCTCATGGCTAAAGCCAGAGGTTTGAGTTTCCAGGCTCCTTGCTGCAAGATTGGGACTTAGTGTCAGGAAATTCCAGACTGGTTTCCCAGGATCTGTAGCTTTGGCGTTAGTCTGTCTCGTGAGGCTGAGACAGAGCCACTGATAATGTGAGTCCTATGCAGATGTTCAGTGATGATATTGACACTTAATTAGCCAAGCAACTGGAAGTAAAGCCAATGTTACTGAGCAGAAACAGGGTCTGAGAACCTTTAAGTTCAAAGGAAACTTCTAAAAAAAAAATGGGTTTTGTCTGACTCCGACCCAAACAAATTTTGAAAAATCAAAATTTTCCATGAGCCAGAAACCCTGTTCTTCAGATGCTTCTACCAACAATACATGGGGCAGTTACAGAAAATGCTTAGGTAAGTTTCAAATAAAATAAGAGTAAAACATTTTGGACAGAGGATATATAGTCAATAGTATCTCAAGGGGAGTAGTGGAATTCTACCTCTTGCAACATTTAAAATGTAGATGGGGCAAAAATGTAGGAAATATACAATTAATATACAAACATACAAGGACAGGCCCTTGGGGGTGGGGCGGGATATTCCAAAATGAAAAGGTTGATAACAGGGGTAGGTAAATATTTGGGTCGGAGGGCCACTTCGGGACTTGGGGTGAGCTGTTACGGGCCAGATCAGCCACTCCCCATCCCCTCCCCCACCCTTTGCAACAGCTCACCAAAGCTCCCTAAGTGGCCCTCTGGCCAAATAATTGCCCACCCCTGGTCTAAGGGCAGAGAGAAAAAAGGTTAGGGGAACCTATTCTTTGTTTCTCCCTTTTGTCAGTGCCCACTCCTACACTTCGAGTGCCCAGCATGTGGCTAGCCTGGTGCCATGCTGTATTCCTTCTGTCATGACCCAAAGGCATGATTTTGTGTGTGCTTCGGCACCAGAATTATCCCCGCCAAGTTGCAGCTTCATTGCACGAGGGAGTTTCCTGCTGCAGAGGAAAACACCGGTGCAGGGACGAGTTTCCCGCCTTTTTTGCAGCTTCTTTTGCAGAGTGCATTGCTCAAGTTGCAAGAGGAATGCACGGTGCAAAAGAGTTCCCGCCACCGGTATGCAAATTCGTTCCCCGCTATTGGCTAGTTTTAAATTATTCCCACGTGGCGGCTAGCGATTGGCCTGTTAGCCGTATAAGAGGCTTGAGCGGTTTCCGCCCAAGCCGAAGAGGACTCCACATCCATCTCGTGGGGACTCTGGATACACGGCAGGGTAATAGAAACCCTGTGTGAGATTCAGAGGAGCGTGGCGGCCTGATCCACTGCCCACCTCTTCCCGTCTTCGAGCGCGACTTTTATAAGACGTACCTACGATTCTGATTTTGGTGGCTCGTTCACCCAGAGCATCCGGAGCTCTGTACCGTGGAGCCTAGCAACCTCCATGAGACCGTCTGTGTTGTCTGTCTGTAACTGCAACTCAGTCAAGTTTTCCAGCCTACACCACTGCCATCTCGGTGTAAGTAAACAATCTTTTAAACTACCGCTAAGCGTTTGTGCCTAATTCCAGCTCGATGGCCTTCCCTCTCTGACCCGGCGTGCCCGGGTTGCTGGCCACAGCACGCGTGAAGCACGGAAAAGGGCTCGGGTCGCTCCCGGCCCGCACACCTTCATGCCACCTTGGGCCACATGGGCACAGCTGGCAGGGCTTCTGCCTAGCCTGACCCTGTGCCAAGGACTTGGGATGGGGGAGAGGATGCAGAGGGAAGCTGGGACCTGCGGGTTACCCAGCCGGGCTGGTGACATGCTATGTTCCTCCCTTGTCCCTTCACGCCCCCGCCCCCTGAGTCCCCAGCATGCAGCTGGGCTGGTGCATACTGTTTTCCTGCATGCCACCTTGGGCCACAAAGGTGTAGCTGCTGTCTGACCTGGCCATATGCTGGGGACTTGGGATCAGACAGGAGCTGTGCTGGGGTTGGGCAGGAGCCATGCCAGCCACTCCAGCTGCACCCATGTGGCACAGCCTGAAGTGGCATGTGGGAACACAGCGTGGCACCATGTTAGCAACACCTGCATCCCTACTAGGCCCAAGCTGGGCAGGGCATGGAGAACCCATGGCTCCTGGCCCTCTTCCCCCTGCATCCTCTCCTCTGCCAGCAGGGAGAACCTCACCTGAGCTTTGACTCACCAGCAGCTGGGCTGTCTGGTCGACAAAAGGCCACAGGGTCAGAGTGGTGCACTGACAGTTTCCCTGGGCAGAAGCCTGGAGAGGATCTCTGTGCTCCCTGCCTTGGAGAGTACACAGGGGCCTGGGTGGGACAGGGTGGGAGGAGGGTGGCTGCTGCTGTGGCAGTCGGCTGGTAGGGGAAGGGAGAACTGTGAGAGGCATTGAAAGCCAGGGCAGCTGCAGCCCAGATACAGTTCTCCTTCAAAGGAGTAGCTGCAAGCCAGATGAAATCATTTGGTGGGTTGCTTTTTGCCCACCCTTAGTTTATAAAATATATGAGGTGCCCACACTGTTATGGTGAGCTGAACTGGGAAACTGACTTGGATTACACATCTGTTTCCCTGAGACACTTCAGGATGAAGCAAGTATATAAAATATGTTGGCAGGTATGAGACACTTGAACAGGTAGCATAATCAGTCTAAGCTTCTCTGGTATTCATTTTCTGCTGCCAAAACTAATGAATTCATTCATATAATTAATTGAGGTGGATAATGTAAATCCAAGTTCAGTAATATTAAACAAATTTAAGGTATAACGGGCAATACTGAATTTTATGCTATTTTCTGATTAACATATGGATCAAATTATTTCATAAGGTCTTTTCCCATGTTCAACTTTTGCCATTTCTTGACTTTTTAAATAGAATGGTATCCAGGTTAATGTTCAATAAAGAGAAACGTTTCCCTTAATAATGGAGTGCCCCACCAACATGGCAGAGGTTAGCAGAAAAGGGGCCATTGTTTCTTGGAGTGACATATTTTTCCCTTTGGCACAAGAAGTCAAATTTTACTTAGCATGCAGTTAATTACCAGAGCTATATTTCTTGAGAAATATTTTTGCCAAGAAATGAATTGCATTGGTCATTGATGAAGCCAGTATTTCTCCATTGATGTCCTTAGACAGTTTTCCTTTAAAATGCCAATGAAATGAGCAGAAGTTATCAAAAATATGTTTTCTTGTTTTCTAGTGAAGGGAAAACAAAAACCAATCCTAGTAACTTCTGTGGCATTCTCACTACAGTATCAGAGTGTAACAAATGGACATAACTTTTTCCTTCATAATCTGAAGTGAGCGCATATTATGATTTCCATTTTATTGGTAGGCCACTGAAACACAGAGCATTATCAAGTAGGTCCACTAATTTTGCTTGCCTAATTTGCAACATCTAGGGCCTGGTATTTAGCAACATGTTTATGGTATACGTGGTATATTGTTTCCTCAAAGGCTGTTCCAAACGGTTTCAGTTAGTGGTGAGCATGCAGCTCTTCTGCAGATCTGACTCTGGCTATTCTGAAATGAGCAACTCAGGTTTGACTACACTTGAACATTAATTTAGATTTAGGCAAAGTGAATTTAATGTGTGATAACTGTTCCAGTATAACATTGTGAGTACAGAGATGTGTAGCCATGTTAGTCTGAAGCCAGGCAGGAGGTGGTGGCACCTTAGGGACTGACTGGTTCAGAGAATCATGAGCTTGCATAGACAACAACCTACTTCATTAGATGCTATAAATGCTTGTCCATGACTAGATATGAAGAGAGGAGAAACAAGCAGAGTGAGTTTTCCTGGGAGTTAGCCACAGGAGGGAAAAGGGGCCAGGGAGGAGTATGTATATGGGTGGGTGTGTATGTGCACAAGTGGGTTGCTGCTTCTTTGCTTTGTTTTCTACAGTCTAGGTGTCATTAAGGGGGCATAGAAAACATAAAATGGAGACTGGATCAGAAGTTGTTACTTGTGTGAGATGTGCCGTGTTTGTGTTCCTTCCAGAGAGTCAAGACAATTTCATCTGCACCAAATGTAAGATGGTGCCTGTGTTGGAGGAAAAGATTGAGAGATTGGAGGCACAGATGTCCACACTGTGAGCTGTCAAGGAAAATGAACCTTGCTTGGACCAGAGTTATGAGAGCCTGGTACTAGAGAGGCCAAAGGAGAAAAGAGGAGAAGTGGCAGCATGTGACTACTGGAAGAAGGAGGGTCCCTAGAATTCAAGAGGAACAGATTGAAGTCAGCAACCACTCTGAGGTGGAACAGCTGAGGGAATGGCAGAGGAGAGGACATCAGCAGCCAAGACACGGAGGACTCGGCAGTCCAGAGAGCTGGAAGTGCAGGGCCCCAGGGATTGGGGCTCTAAGGCTACTTTATCAAAAAGAGAGAGGACAGCAATGGTGGTTTGGTGACTCCCTTCTGTGATGTCCAGAAGCACCAATTCATCATTTAGATTTGGATTCCTGGGACATGTGCTCTCTGCCTGGAGCCCATATCTAGGCTGTCATAGACTGAAAGATGTCATCCATTTCTCAGACCAATACCCTTTTCTGCTTGCCCATGTAGGCATCTATAATACTACTACTGGGAATGCCACTTTTCCCTTTGGATTTTCCAGCATCAGTCTCTCCTACCTCTAGTCCAAGTAAACTTCACTTTCCTTGATAGCACGCCATCTCCAATTATTCTGCTTATGCTCCCTGGATCACCAAACGTACATACCTATGAACCCACACACACCCAGTCTCCTGCTTCCTGGCTCCCTCCTATAGCAAGCTCCTAGGCAAATTTCCTCTGTTTGCTGATCCTCTGTTAACTGTTAGGCCTTGTCTAGAGTATTTTGTACAGTTTTAGGTATCACATTTTTAAAAGAACATGGAGGATTTAGAGATGGTTTAGAGTTGAGTGACAAAAATGATAGAAGTCTTGGAAGGCAAGCCATAAAAAGAAAGGTTGAAGAAAATAGGTATGTTCAACTTGTAGAAAAGGTGTTTAAGAAGGGGCATTATAGCAGTCTTGAAATATCTGAAGGGCTGCCATAAGGTGAACACTTTGCTGGTTGCCACATGGAGCCAGGAAGGATATTTTCCCCCCTTCCTATTGCTACAGGTAGCAAAGTTTTTTCGTTTCCCTCAGAAGGTTGGGATGTTGGCTGCAGCCAAGACTAGGGATTGTAACTGGGGTATGCCAGTAGTCCTGCTAGGATTAAAACCCAGAAGCTCCTGGCTGGAGGGTCTTGCCCCTGGACTCAGGGTCAGACCAATTACCAGGCAAGGAAGAAGTTTTACCCTCAGACTGGGGGGGGGGGGGGGGGGGTGTTTATCTCTGTAGCCATGGATGTGGTACACCTTCCTTCAATCTCTTGAGCATATTTTAACAACCCTTGCAACAGCAGGATATTGGCTACCATTGTGCCCCTACTTTACCTATGGCAAGTTAGGGGGTTAGAGTGCTATGCTTTGTGGTTGCATTAGGGATGACTGTGTAGTTTTAGTAACAGGTTAGACGAGGATTTGCTTGGAATGGTTTGGATAAGGATAATCCTGACTACCCAGGGGATTGGACTAGATGACTTCTGGAAGTCCCTTCCAGCTGTACTTTTCTATGGTTCTATGACAGGAAGAAATTAATAACTATATTCAGTGCAGGGTTTAAATTGCACATTGTAGGTAAGGTCTGGGGCCACATATGAGTGAGAAATATAAAAATAAATATTGACTAACCATTCATTAATGGGGTCCCTGAAAAAACAGTGAGAGAGATTTAATTTAAAAATACTGCATGTTTACAAATGAGGGGAAATTTAAGTTTTCATAGTCAACCTTTACTCTGGCATTTCCTAACTTTTTAATTCTTGATGTAAGTTTAACTATCTTTCAGTGTAACTTTTAGGATGTGATATTGGATGTAGTTTAATAAACATATACTTTGATCCTGCACATGGCTAATTTATTGCATACAAGTACTCCTAGTGAAGTTAATGATAACCGGAACAGATGTCTAAAGTGAGGTATGTTTTTGCTGTACTGAGTCGATACTTCATTTTCTATCTCCAATTACAGGAAGGTAAATAGGTGCTCCAGTGTAAGCAACTGCTGGGGGAATGGACAGAGGGCTATGGGGAGGAGCTGGCTGTACCCACTACTTGCTGGCCAGAATAGTTAACTGGGGGCAACAGTGCAAATAAGGTGCTCCATGAAAATGGAGGAAATAACTTACTCCAGCTCTAGAGTACGAAGGGACAGGTATAAAATTGTGACACAATGATCACATCTGCATGTGCAGCAGACTGTGGAGTTGTTACTGTGCAGTCATTTAGTACTTGTATAAGCAAGTACTATGTTACTGTGCAGTACCATTACTGCACAGTACCATTGCCACACATTTTTTCCTGATTCTACTGTGCAATAGCAATGAGCCACTGTGCAGTATTGTCACCACATGGCTAGTGTTCAGCAATGCTACTATGCTGTAGCAATGGGCTACTGCACCATAGCATCTCGTGTAGATGTGCCCAATGAGAAGCAATGTGTCTTGTGGTCATGGTGATTCAGCTCTATCATGTAAGCAGGTCACAGCCCATTTGTAATAATAAATAATATCTTCTTTTGTATAGTGGCTTCTCTATATAATTATGTAATTGATCTTACGGATAGTTTTTAAATCTTATCTATGTTTGAAAATGGACAAATTACTCTTGACAGTATCTCTTGAGATATTTAGTTGAATCATAGAATTGTAAAAAACATATAGCTACACGAGACCTCAAGAGGCCATCCAGTCCCATCCCCTGTTCAAGGCATGGTAATACCTGCTATAAACATCCCAGACAAATATTTGTCTCACTTGCATTTTAAAACTTCCAATGACAGAGATTCCACAACCTCTCTAGGTAATCTGTTCTAGCACTTATTCACCTCATAGTTCAAAGCTCTTGCTAATACCTAACCTAGATCTCCCTTGTTGAAATTGAGTGCATTACTCAGGGCTTAGGACTCACCTGTAGAGCACAAGGGATTCCTATTCAATGAAAAATTCCAGACAAGTCTCTCTAAAATGTGCAGACAAGAGCAGACCTATCAAGAGTGAGTACATATCGTTTTTTCGGTTATGTCAGTATTGACATCATTTTGTGAATCATTAGGTATCAAATGTTTAATGCTATCATCAAACATAACAGAAACCTATCTATCATACACTTTACCTCATGGCTTTTTATACTGAGATGGATGGGATTGTGGATTGTATATAATTTCCAGTTATATCTGTAGCCACATACAGGAAAATTGAGAGAGATTTTAGATGGTATCAGTGAGGGTTTCTTGGCCTGGAAAAGATTAAAAAGATATCACTACAAAATAAATAACAAACTGGATACTTAGACATTTTAGGGAGACTTGCATTTCAGAATAACAATTTTTAACAACTTTTATTACCTAGACAGCAACTGAGCGATATGCAGAATCCTTCAGTAAATACCACTGTGCACTTGGACAAGCCAAAACATTTCATTAATATGAAGTTTAGAAACAGGAAATTTCCAGTACTAACTTGTTAGCTTTAATTGAATTTGCAACAACTTTCTTTAAACTCAATATGGGGAGTGAAATGAAGGCAAAGGAGCTAGTTGCCATTAAATGAAGTAAACATGAATTCTTACTATTGCCATAGAAGGCTGTTACAGGGTTAGATGTAATGTAATCACCCAAAACTGCAGATGTCAAAAGAACAATGTATTATTCTGGTGCTTAGCAGAGAATCTTGCAGTCGTGGAAAGACTGGGGGAGGCATTTAACTTAAGCAAAAGGTTAAATATGTCATGAAGGAAGTTTTGCTTGGAGAAACTTTATTAACAACTTTCAGACCTTTATTAATGTCAGACTTGATCTACTGTAAGAGCCTCTTGTTAAGTGGTAATGATCTGATTAAACCTTGAAGCTTTCCCATTAATGATATAAATGCCATTAGCTGCCTGAAATTCCATAGATTTACAGTAAGAGTTACAAAAGAAATGTTCTTAATGTGTTGAAACTGTCTTCAAGAAGACTTAGCATACTATAAGCCAGTGAGAACAAAAAGCAGTTAAAAAGGCCCAGTTCCACAAAGGCATTTAGGTGCGGCGATCTTCAATGTTCTACAGCTAACTTTTATGTGCCTGGCTCAGGAGTGGAAGTAATTATAATGAGTTAGGCCTTATATTTCCTATATAAATGGAGGGAGTTGGGCATCTAGGAATGGAACTTTTGGTGAATATAGGTACATCTAAGGCTATTAGAAAAAAAAAAAACTGAGTAGAGGGGTGCCTCTGCCTCTCTTCTGGACTTATCTGTCAGTGTGAGGTTGATCTCTACAACCCAAAATTACTTCCTGGACTTAGATGCCCTGGTCTTTCTTTTGTGTACAGATAACTGACTTTCTTTTCTTTTAAAATAATTTGGTATTTCATCCAAAGATCCTTTCATACAAAATGTTTAAGCAAAAATTAAGTTTAATTTTAAGCATGTTACTGTTTCCATTATCCTGAATGGGACTAATCATGTGCTAGCATTAAATACATGCTTAAATCAAGTGTTGCATTAAGGTTCAGATCCACAAATATTCATTTGGGTCTGAGTCTGTTCATAATTTTGGGTAAGTCTAACTTACTTGAGGTACATTCAAAATTATCACAGGCAATGTTACAGGCGATCCCATAATCTACCTTCAATTAGAGTATGCATTTTCATACTACGAGTTTGATTGACCATTTTGGTATTGAGCGCTGTTGTGGGTCTATATGGGGACATAAAGTTTAAATACTAAAAATGTTTGCAGAATAAAAATTCTGAAAAATTTCAGTTAGGGGATGATTAAACTTTTTTTGGTTGACCTATTTTTCAGTGTAGCCCTGTGAAGTCACAGCTGCTGAAGGGACTGTGGTAATTGCTAAAACATGTGGTCATGTCTGCATGTGCCTTCTGCTAGCTGCAGGGAGACAGAGGAAAGCTTCTTTAGCCCAGGAAGGTGGTGTCACTCTACTGGTGAAAAGTAGCAATCTGCCATTTGTCATGCAGGATCAACATCCTTTTTTGGGGAAAGGGGAAAGCTCTTCCTCAGGACACCCCAAGAAGCAGCCTTATTCAGTCTTCCTGTCCTGAGAGGACTCTCTGAGGCCAACCCTGGCATAGCTTCATAAGGGGATAAGCCTCTGTCTCTGAGACCCTGACTCTTCTGAGCCCCTGGCTTCCTCAGTGATCTGTAGGACCCCCACCTTAGAGAGCTCCTTTTTGGTCAGCTTGTGGGAAGGTGGGGGTATATCATCTTCTTTTAAAGAGGAGGGTTATTAGAAGCTGATGTTCCCAAACCCTACAGCAGACTTTGCTCCTAAACAGTCTTTATCATGCCATTCCAGTTTCCTATGCCCTCACTCAGATTCATCTGTCACCCCTGGGACTATTTCTTTTCTCCATGTCTTCCCTGGGACCTTCTCTCCCTCCTGCTCTCTTTCTCCTCAGGCCCAGCCAGCCACACTTTCAACAAAACTGTTACAAAACTCTAATATTAACTTCAGGACAGCACTTATCCAGTACAATGAAACAAAGTGATGGAGAGCCAAACAGGAAGTAGTCTCCAGGCCTCCCTGTGGTGAAAAGGGCATATAAGTGGCTTGCTTATGAAACTATTTATAAGAATTATTTACCGCAAAGTCTGCTCATACTGAGTACCCCCCGGCAAAGTTCCCAACAAATACTGCAGGCTAGAACTCAGCTCACTTAGCCTGTTTTGTCATAGCCTTATAGAGCTGCTCTTGGATGGCATTTTTCTCAACCTGCACCAGAAAACTATGTATTATAGACCAAGCCTTGTTTTCATTTGTAAAAAATCATGTGGGCCATGAATCATGTAATTCATTGCTTCCAAAATCATAAAGCTGGTCTGAGTCCAGGTGACATAGGAAGTCCAAAGCTGTACAGGGAATAGACTCCTAACAGTCTAATTCCCAATCATTTGCTCTGACCATTATGGCATACATTACACATAAACCACTTTAAGTGGTCAGAAACTGGTTTAACCCTGTAACAGAACAGACATTCAGAGCACATAAACCAGTTTGAAAATGAGTGAAACCGGTTTGAGATAAACCTGGTTGAATGTAGTATCAGACTTAACTGATTTAGGTCAAACCAGTTTATGCAATGTCTGTCCCAGACTCCTTCCTGGTTTAAATTAAACCAGAGTCCCCCAGCATCCTGGCATGCTCTCTGGGCTGGGATCTGGGCTCCAGTCCAGCAAGGCTGGCCCCACCCATCTCCTTCCCACCCAGAGCACTATCACTGCTCTGGCTAACTGAGGGACTGCAGCAGCTGCCAGGCTTCCCTCCCCCTCCCCCCCTGCTGCTCAAGCAGGGATTCCCCTTCCTGCCCCTCTCCCACAGCAGTGACCTGGCATCTAGCCATGCCCCCCATCCCCCCATGCTAGCTAATGCTGAAAGGCATCTGTGTGGGTCTCCAATTTCACTGGAATAAAGCCAAACAGCTAGCGGCTTGCAAATGCAAATACACCCTGCAGATAAGAAGAGCTTGGAACTAATGCGAGAGATGTTTTTTTTTTTGTAGGGCTTGATGGACTGATAAACTTTGTTCTGACAAACAACCTGCTGGATGTAATCTGTCAGTCTTCAAGAGGGTAAAGAGAAAGATGTTAGAAATGACCTGGTTGGCAGACAGTCTGAAGAAGCAGGGAGACGGAGATTGAAAAGCTCCATATCAACAGATGCAGGGTCTGACAACACTCCCACCCCTTGAGCAGTCAGTGGGGAAAAGCCTGGGGCTGCAGGTGGGGTGGGGGTTTACACACCTTCATAATCAGAGCATCCTGCTGGGGCCTGGCCATGCCCCACCTCAGCTCAGCAGTATAGAAGGGGAGGGAGGGCGGCTCTAGCACTTTCGGCTTCTAGCCTGAGCCACTGCAGGCATGTGTCAGAATTTCTGGAATGAAAAGGGAATTTCTATCCCCCTCCAAACTGGTTCAAGCTTTGCAGATTAAGCTAACCTGCAAAGATTGAATCAATTCAGGCTCAGACTTTTTGAATGTCTGTCTCTAGCTTATCAGACACTTTTTTTTTGGAATTCAAAGTTAGCAGTTTTGATTAAAATCAAAATTTCTCAGCCATCTACTGTTCTATTTTGCTGATACATTAACATGTTTTCTAGAATTGGTGAGCATGGGAGTGTAAAGCTAGTGTTTTAAACCATATTCCTCTGACTTTTAGTGTTGGTTTAATCAGAAACTCAAGGTTTTACTGTTTTATATAAAAGTATTAAGCAGTGCAGTTCTTCTGACCATCAAAGGTTTCTGTCCAATGCTTTAGTTTTCTTTTGGAAATAGACCACTAGGATGAAATGGATTAATTTATGGCAATATATGCCTGACTGGTTCCCTGGATAAGTTCTGTGAATAGCTTAAATTAATGTGACACCATGCTGATTTTTGGGGAAAAAAAACAGTGGAAACTTATATGGTACTTTGGGTGCTAGGATTTTTTTCCTTACAACTAACTAAAATATGCTAGAATAAAAACCAAAATGAATAATAAATAAAAAAAAAAAAAAAAAAGCTTGGGCCAAAGGCGACTTGATGGAAGCAGAGGAGAAATGTCTTTTAATGTAATCTATACAGTTACTTGTTGTTACTATTTTATTCAGTCAGGGTAATCAGATAGCACTATTTTCTTTTCCATTTTTTGGACAGTGCATTAAAAACCACTACTTTTCTCCTAGTACCTCATTTATGGCTGAGAAAAAGGAGTCAGGTTTTACTGACCTTTCTCTATAAGCAAAACATGGAGACTGTTTTCTGTTGTAACAATTATATCAGTTCTGAAGAGAAGACTCAATAAGGTTTATAACAGTTTCATGTATCTTTAATTTTATCCTTTATTGGAAAGGAAAAGGCTTCATTTCAACATTGTATATTAAGGACAAATTTTCACTATTATACATGACTGAACATATGAGAGAGAAGCTTTTAAGATTTTACTTGGAGCATAATATTAGGTATTTTCCCTTTGTTCTTTCTTTTTAAAGAGGCATTCATGGATAATGCTTCTAATCAACCAGATGCACAGACATGTTCCAATCCACCTACTTGTTTCATCTTTTAGTAATTTGCTTTTTATAGCTTTGTATGGGTGATTGTGGAATCCATATACATGTAAGCTTAAGTGAGCTTGCAGTAATCTTATGTAATACATGGTTGTATCTTAGCATTTATGTACTGCTTTTCATTTAGTTACCAAGTGCAATTATATATGTTACCTATTCAGAAAAGTTTAAATGCAGGAAAACG